ATATATAATATATATATTATATACAGTATATCCTTTCACATTTTTAGAACTATTTTCTGTGGTGGTAGACAAACACAAAAGCACAGTAAACAGCTAAAGAAGCTGCAAAGACATGAGTGATGGAAACTCTAAAACACGCAAACAGACAAAATACAAATGCAACAGAAAAAAAGCATTTGCAGCATTTTTTTGTTTGCATTTGATTTGTTGATTGAAAGTTTTTGCATAAATATTTAATGATGTTTCTTTGCAGTCGTCTTTTGTTTCATTTTTTTTATTTTATTTGTGTAATTTGGAGTTTGCATCATACACATGTTTGCAGCTTGTTTTGCCCTTTGCTATGCATTGGCACATATCTGCCTGCCACCATAGTTCTCATATGAAATAGACAAAATAATGTAGCATTTGCTCACTAAAATTGTATTTTCACTGTCTATTTTTTCTGTAAACTGGTTTTGAATCTGTTCAGCGAGGGGAAGAAAAGAAAGAAGATGTGGTTTAAAAATGAGAAATGAATATTCACAGTGGCATCAATTAAAACCTGGATCCAAATAATCTAAGTGAATATTCAGGTGGCAGATGAATGCAATCACCTGTGGATTAGTGTGTTAAGATTTGCATATAATAATGTTTTAGTTGAAACCTATGATGAAATAATACTCAGTGTGTTTATTAACTTCGGTTCTGTGCAGACATACTTGCCTGTATGGAGACCCTTAGACAATTCCTCAGAATGGTTCCTACAGTTTAGGTCCTTTGGGCAACAGAGATGCAGATGTCCTCCTATGCTCACCCCCCGACCTCCTCTGCCCGCTTTGGTCTGTTTAATCAGCAGCTTTAATGTTGAAGTTGGTCCTTTTAATAAATTATTGGTGGGGGAAAATGACACAGCAGTGTATAAACTTTTTGGGGCCCTTCTTTATTTTCCTGAGTAGTCTGAAGTATGCACTGTTATCCTCACAGTGACCCACAGTGACTCAGCCAGCACATGATCTCCAGAATCCATTCATCCGAGCCATAAATGTGGATGTGTAGCAATGCGACTGCAGTCCCACTGGCATTTTGGAAAGATGCTGTGTTTTTTTTTTTTTTTTAGGTTGATGCTGCTGCTTTTCCATTTTTATCCAATGTACTCACAGTTTCATTGGACAATGGTGCACTGCTTCTCATAAACTGTGTGTGGGTCTGTGTGTTTTATTTGCTTCCTGTCTTCTGTGCCAATCAGACGGCGGGTTTCCAGGAGACGCTGACCGAGCTGGAGATCTTAGCTCTTATTGTGGGTTGTGTGTGCCATGACTTGGACCACAGGGGCACCAACAATGCTTTCCAAGCCAAGTGAGTGTACCTGCACTAAAAAAAAAAAAAAAAAATCTAAGTAAGTCAGTTTTTCTAAAATAAGTGCATTTTTTCTGGGAGTGAGCAGATAAGCGAGACAACTTTCCAATGAAATAATACAATTTACATTTGAAATAAGAAAAGGTTAAATACACTTATTTCTGCTTCTGTCGCTGCAAACACAGTGTCTTTTATACATGGTGCACAGTGTGTCCTCCAAGTTCTGCAAACGTTTAAAATATTACTATTAATAATGTACATCTCAATTTTCAGGTTTTTATTTACTTTTATTTTTCAAAAATTATGCAACAATAAAGCAGCATTGCATTTAATTTCTGTTTATTAGAGCTTTTCTGACTCCCTTAATTTGTGAGGGGAAAAAGTTGAAGCTTTTTTTTTTTTTTACAATTTAATCCCATAAACAGCTTTAAACCAGATTAACTACAAAACATCTATAAATATTTCTTTATCATTAAGAAAACTTCCAAATAAAAAATGATACTCGAAGCTCTAACGTTCACAGTCTTTATCTTAAGTAAAAGACTCTCATACTACGTGGTGACTGCTTTTCTTAACATAACATAATGACCACTTTCTGAATTTGACATTTCTCTTTCAACTGCGGTTTGGGTTATGAGTCTCAGGCGTCCTTTTTTATTGGGCCATAAGTTAGAAACTGACTTAAAGGGAAAGAAAATTCAAAGAGAGCTTTAGAGCAGACTTTAGTTCTCAGCTTCTGTGGAAAACTGATTATACTGTCCCTCTTTTTTATCCCAATATGTTTGTTTTTTTATCTGTGTGTGTGTTTGGCAGGACGGGTTCAGCCCTCGCTCTGCTTTATGGGACCTCTGCTACCCTGGAGCACCACCACTTTAACCACGCTGTTATGATCCTGCAGAGCGAGGTGTGTTATGTTCCAGTATCTGTTGCAATGCAGTTGCCATTCACCTTCTGCTGCATGTGATTACAAACACCACTGGCAATAGACCCTTTAACCTTAGTGTCCTTTAGAGAGATAAGGTATTTTTAAACTGCAGTCTGCAGCCACAACTTCATTCACATTCCTTCAGCAGGAACTGGACAAGATTTTACTGCATTAGTTGTATGAAGCTACTTCAGCTTACAGTAACTTAAGGGCTGATAACATGGCATATATAGGAGCGGTACAATAATAGTAAAAACAAAGTAGAAACTTAACAGTCTCTAAGATAATTCATATCTGAACGAATGCATGCAAACATACAGCAATTTCATACTGTCGTTAATCAATAATTATAAAACAGAAAAGAGATGTTTTAAATAAAATTGCCCTGGTTTTCAATCAGGTTGAAAAGGGCTTTTTTGTCTGCAAACAAAAAACAAACAATCGATGAAGTCTGAATTCTGTTAAAAGAGCACACTCATAATACATGCTGAAATGTCATGTGTTATTTAAAACACATGCATTTGAACTGCTCTCCATGTGCATTTTGAACTTTGTCTGCCTGCAGATTCAATAACACAAGGCCTCCAACACGTCACAAGCATGAGCGCATCCTCCTGGTCGGCTTTTATATACCTGTTGATTCTCTCCTCTCCTCATCTCAACCTATTGTCAATTTTAAGGGTGGAACCAAACTAAGAAAGTAAACTTCGGGAAATCCTGTCTTTTGAAAGTGGGATTGGAGGGAGCAGGAATACTTATGGAAAGGGCATCCGAGCAGGACTGTGTGGTGGTTACTTTGAGGCCCATACATGGGTTTCTCGCTTTACCCATGCTCCACCGTCACATCCCTCCTGAGACAGCACTGTTTATTTACTAGTAACGTCCTCAAAGCTGCTCTCTTCAAAGAGGAAATTCTGACCTTATATCCAACAGCCATATGTATCAATGAACCATTTTCTAAACTCAATGCTGGATATGAAGGAAAACATCCTAAGAGCAGCTGCAAACTGTAAATGCAAATGTCTGTGGTCGACTAAAAACCAGGGATGATTCAAAACCTCTCCTTCCTAAATACAAACGCAGAAGCTCAAGTTAGCTTAGCTCATATGGTGTTTCGAATTTAGAAGGAATAATTATTTTAGAACATATCGCTGCTGCTACCAGAACACATTCACCACTAAGTTATTAAATGATGGCTTCACTTAACCAATTTTAACTTGTAAAAGAACAATTATAATTTGCTGCAACTAGGAAGAAAATTGCAGGATTTACTGAAAAGCAGGCAGTTTACATTCTCCAGTTGCAACAACCCTTATACTGATAGAAGAGAAGGAGCTTGTGACTTATCGGGGCCTCATGGTATTGAATTTGCATGCATGAAACGTCCAAAATGCAGGTGGACAGCAGTTTACAAGCTTGCTTTAAAAAAAACAAAAAAAAAAACAACCGGTCGTATCAGTTTTGTTCCTGCATGTACACTTTTGACAGAATTCTGACTTCATACAAATCGGCAGCCTTCCACCTCAAAGCTTGAAGTCTGGTGTAAGCTGCCTGTACTGATTTCATATCTTTTGTCCAGAGAAGTCTTGTGGTTGATTGAAATGCTCTTTTGCAAACCTGAGTCCTGCTGCTGTATTTTTTAAGCCCTCAAAGGAGGTCAGACTTTTTAAGTAGAGGTGGGTCAATCGAGAGACCAGCAGATTGATTAGCCCAGATTTGCTTAATTTAGGGTGATTGATGATCAGCCCATATTAGCATATTGAGATGGCTAGTAGATTTTAGATTTTATACAGTTAAAACAGGTTTGTATTTTTTTAACAAATATTGTTCAATGTTTTTTTTTTTTATAAAAATGGTGCAGAATATTAAAGTTGTTTTATGAACTTACAGTATAACACCTTAAAGTTTTAATTATATATAAAAAAATCTGAATTTAGTGCTTTAAACTGATTTGTTTCTGAACTAACAGTGATATTATTTGGTAAGGCTTTGTAGGAATAGGAGTTGATTAAATTATGATTTCCACAATTTTTTTTTAAAGAAGTTGTCTGCAGCCATTTTCCACTTCAAGGACAGATTGCTGCAGGAAAAAAACCCTCTTATAGTAAGGCTCTTCTGCTTAACCCTTAGAGAAGTTGAAAAAAAAAAAGCATTTTTCATTCTTTTTTAAATAAGTGCAGAGCATCATTACACAAGCCATTAAAGATTAATGCTTACATCCACAAATTATAACAAAGACACCGTAATTGGAAAGAATTTATATGAAACAATTGAAAAAAAGACACAACATTTTGCTATAAGTTTTTGTCAGTTTAAATCCACTCTGGTGGTTGAAACTCATTATGATAATTCTGTTGCGTCAAAATACCAGTAGACCAGAGTTTAAATGAATGAAAGGCACTAAAGGCCACATAAAAAATGAATGAGTTTGCACTCACAGAGCTCAGAGGCAACCGTGTGCTCTCCTTAGCAGGGGAGTAAACAAATAGCTCAGGCTGCCCTCAAATCGATGGAACTACAAATGATAGACTCACTGGTAATTTGCTGGGATAGAGACGTTTTAACAGTTTAACAGGTATCATGGACTTGTAATTGGAGGTATATATACATGTTTATTTTTTATTTTTTTGGGAGGGGGAGCAGCCGAGACCAGGTTGAGGGGAAAGATCCAGTGGCTTCATTATCCCAGCGCTGACAAATGTTTGCTTGGACTACATGGCGCCTGGTAATGCGGGGCAGGCTCTGGCGTTGTCCTCGGCTAATTAACATACAAATGAATACTGTGAATAATTCGAATAGAAGACATGACGGGCGATTCAGTGGACTGATTCAGTAAAACCATTGAATTATTACTCGTCACCTTTGCATCTCTCGCCTCCTTCTCCATCTGCCGCAGGTGTGACAGAACCCCAGACCTCCTTTGTGTCACCGCTGTTAACGTAATTCAGTATTTTATGAGGACCTCTCAGATAATGAATGAAGCCGGGGGCATGTTTGCACAAATGTTCAAAGCTAAGCTGTCTGTGTTTAAAACGGTGGTTATCTGGTTTGTTGATTCTCCAGAGGAGAGAGCCTGAATGCTGAATGAATGTACCATACATGCTGGGTTAAAACCTTAGCTACAGAGCTCGCTTATTAGGAGCTGTTGGGAAGCTGCTCCCCTGCACAGATCCAATTAGTTTCATTGGAGCCATTCCTGTGAAAAGCTTTTTGATTGGCTATCGGGGTAAAATAAAACTTAACAACGAGTTTCTTTGGATTAGAGCAGAATTCTCAATAAATTCAAACATGTTTACCTAATAAAGGATTTTAGGAATCAGGCACATTGAGAAGTCAACAGTTTCTCTGTAGAAACTGGAGGCAGATATGCATCTTTTTTATGTTTTGGAGAATTATTTATATTCTGGTTATTTATCAAAAAACTCACTCTCAAATCATCTAAAGCTGTGGTCTCCAGCCTCTGAGTCATAGATTAGCTGTAGCAGGGTATTGGGAGCCTTATGTTTTCTATATTTGAACAAAAAAACAGACAAAAAACAGTTTGACTATTTCCCTACTCATTTACAAATGTTGCTTTTTGCCAACAGCTGGGAAAAATTTACCTTTTTATTAATTATTTTAAACCTTATGTAGTGTATTTTAAACACCACCAATAATTTGACCTCCTAGCTTTAGGAACCATATATCTAGATGGTTAAGTACTGTTAAAGTCTACAGGAAATTAAATGAACAAAAGAGATATGTATAGGAAATCTTATGCTGAGATTTGCTTATTATTTCTCCTGTAGTTTTATGCTGGTATCACTTTTGAAACATTTCTCAAAGTCCACTCAGGTTTAGTCCTAGAGAGGCTCTCCACGTATGCAGAAGTGCCTCCAAGACCTGGAAAACACATTATCATGTGTTAAACTGGAGAAATTTTCTTTCCCATAGCATCCATTACATCACAAGCAATGAGGAATATATGAGCCGTGGATTTATTTTATGGTCGGAAACATTTAAGGCGACAATTATTGCAGAAAATGAAAAAAAATTAAATACAACAAACTTTGGTAATGACTTTTGCACACTGGCTCAATTTTGTTTCTGCCATTACAGTTTAACAGGGTTAAATTTTTAATATGATGTGGAAGATTTTATGCTTCTTGCTATGAAAAGTCAGCATGGTGGCTATGAGCCTGTAAACTAAACTGATTTGGAGAGTGGAGCCAATGAATGCAGACAGACTGAAGCAGCAGGAGCTTGGTGGCTCAGATGATGCTCAACAATTTAGATATACTGAGGGATGGTGTACCCTTTTTTATCAGCGGGATTAAGACATTAATTTTTAGCATATAATTAAAGGTCTTTTTTAAGATGGAATTGCATTTCTTAAACCACTCTTAGGGTCAAATCATATATACAGGCTCAAATACATCCATGCAACCTCATTAGTATTTTCCATAATGCAATTTAACATGATGTTTTTCAACTATTAAAAAGGTGGGATTAATCAGAATGGATCATTTACCAATCGACCATGCTTATTTAAAGTACAAAATACCTCAGCAATAATGCATTGAGAACATTTTCAATGCAACAGTAATTAGGTCTTCAACTGTGGTTGAATCTTGTTTATGGCAAAAAAATAAGGTGCAACTTGTTTAGGAAGCAATCATCAGACATGTGAAAGTAAAAATGGTGTCCAACCTTTTTCCCTCAGAACAGATTATTTTAAAAAAAAAATGTATTTTTTTAACTAATTAAAAGAAGTGTATTTTTGTTGTTTAAGGGCAATTAAACTATTTTTTCCTGCAATAAATTTTTTTTTTACCCAGACAGAGACACTTAGAGGTGTTAGAAACCCTAAAAGGTAAACATGATTCACACAGATCCTGTCAGTTTTTCTCATGTTTCCATGTTTTATCTCCATAGGGGCACAACATCTTCTCCAACCTCTCTTCCACGGAGTACAGCGACCTCATGCAGCTGCTGAAGCAGTCTATTCTGGCCACAGACCTCACACTTTACTTCGAGTAGGTTCTGCGAAACCCACTAAATCCAAAGCACATTGGCAGCCTTCAGGCTCATCTCAGCACACTACTTATTAAAACCTTGAAGTGGTTGTTTTAGGTAATGATGCCCCCTGGTGGACACAATGGGGCTTACAGCTTTATCTAGAAGGGTTGTTGTTTTTTTTTCTCCTCCTCAGAAAGAGAAACACATTCTTTGAACTTGTCAGTAAAGGGGAGTACAACTGGAATGTGAAGGCTCACAGAGACATTTGCAGGTAAAGTTATCCCCTTTTATATCATTGAGCTTAAAAAACAATAATTTCATGGTTTTAAAAGTTTAAAAGAATTTGATTTTGTCTTCTTAGATCTATGATGATGACAGCCTGCGATCTTGGAGCCGTCACAAAGCCATGGGAAATATCCCGCAAGGTGACCAACAGGATGAGAAAAAAAACAATCATTGATCAAATTCACCTTTTCCAGAATTTTAACATGAAAATGTAAAAAAGTGTCACTTAATGTTGGCGTTTCACTCTTTTCTCAGGTTGCAGAGTTGGTGACGGGTGAATTCTTTGAGCAGGGAGACCGAGAACGACTGGAGCTAAAGCTCACGCCCTCCGTGAGTAAATCCAACCAGCTCAGCGTTTGTGCTTTTTGCAGGATCTCTCTCACCCTCTGTGCCCCTCTGAGAGCTGATGATGCCGACATGATGATATATTTTCTCTGCTGTTTGGAAACGCACTGACTTTGTGGAAAACACGAAAGCTCGTGTCTCTAAGCGTGAGGAAAGTGTAGGCTCAGCTCGACTGCACCACTGCCCTGCATTCAATGCAGATTTTTTCTATTCATTCACCTGCAAACACAGATAGATAAACTACCTTGCCTAAATGGTTTATTGTTTTCTTACAAGTAACCCATAAACAGCTTGTTTCAATCATATGTATAGAGTAATGTATTAATTTAAAGCAGATAGGAAATGGTGCATGGATTTCATTTTTTATTACAATTAAGAAAATTGTGAAGTCCATTTGTGTTTATCTCAACACTTTGCAGGAGCTTCTTTTTATAGCAATCACAGTTTTTAGCATTGAGAGGTTAACATTTTAAAGTTTAACTCAAATTGGAGCACACATAGGCATTATTTTTAAGCCTTGTCACAGTTTTTCAGTTTGGGCCTAAACTTTGACTGGGCCGTTCTGAAACATTAATATGTTTTAATCTAAACCACTCTATTTTATTTCAGAAATATCCTGAAATGTTCCTGTCCTCCCAGCAGACATGCATTCCCACATTACTATGCTGCCACCACCATGCTTTATGGTGTGTGTTCAGAGCAACCTGCAGTCAGACTTCTCTGCGTACATAATTCTTTGTTTCCACTTTTCTATAAAAGCCAGACTACAAGTTGTACCACCTGAGCCATAGGCAGGTATTTGCAGGTTTCACAGTTGTGTCAACCTCCTCTCATTCTCAGAAAACCGAACCAAGATCTCTGATATATTGGAAGCTTGAGAAGCTTTATAACCTCCCTCCGCTTTAAACTCATCCAGAAATGCATCCTTGAGCTATCTGCTGTGGTCCTCAGTCCTCGTGATGCTGTTTATTCATTAATGTTCTCAAACAAACCTCTTAGGCCCTCACAGAATAGCTGGATTGCTACCAAGGCAGGTCACAGGGCTTTTCATTTGCCAAATACACAATCTCAGAAGTCATTGGATCTTATATAAATGTGTAAAATGACATTTAAAACAGCTTGTGCCAATTATGCAATATTTTGTGTTGGCTTATCACTTAAAATCCCAATAAAACACACTGAAGGCTGCAGGTATTTTTTGACAAAATGCTAAAACAGTCACAGGATCTGAACACTTTTGCAATGCATTGTGTGTTGTTGGAGAAATAGCAGATTTCTTGGTGCTAATTAAGATATTTGACTTCATTCAGAAATGCTGCAGCTAACCTTATTGCTGCAGCCAGCAGAGATGAACTCTCTTCTTTTTTCTAAGCCTTGAAAGGAGAAAACTGACTTGGTTCTGCATGCAATTAATGACTGTTAAGTAATCGAGCCTGGCCATATTGCCTCCCCTCAGAAATAACTAATTCAGTAGCCTCAGGTTTGCTGCTTGTGTCAAACCTTTAGCTCTCTCTTGTGTGGGCGTTGGAAATGAAATATTAACTTCTGAGTCGTAGCCCGGTAACTATCTCTGAAGCGCAGCCTCAGCGGAGCCTCTTAAGCTTGGGCTGCATGAATGAGAGAGAGGAGAAAATAGGCGTGAAATAAACTCAGCTGACTTGAGAAAGGAAGAAGAAGTCCCTAAGAGCAGAGCGCTAAAAGCAACACTTTAGGGTCCCGTATGAGCAGGAAAATTGTGAAAGCAAACAACTCTCTCTCCTTTTTCTTCCTTTCAGGCCATCTTTGACCGTAACAGGAAGGATGAGCTCCCAGGGCTGCAGCTGGAATGGATTGATGGAATCTGCTCGCCTCTGTATGAGGTAAAAAAAAAAAAAAAAAACCCTACCCGACTGGCTGCTCCTCGGCCTTTATTGTGTCACGCTTGCTGCACATCCTCCTCTGACATCAGCAGACTCCGTCCTTCCTCCATTATTGTCCTTCGCTGACGCCAGCAGTGAAACTGTCGCCAGCAAGTGTTTGACTTTCTTCCTGAGCGAAGGTTTCTCTCTGAAAGAGAGAAATGCTTTTAATTGAGAAGCTGTGAAAAAAAGCTTTGAGGTTACGTCCTGTTCTCATTGAAAGAAGCAGATTGAGCGTGCACTTTGTGACCATGAGGCAGCTCGGAGAAGTGTGTGAATAGAGCTGTGATGTAAGTCAGGTTGAATCTGCTCTGTAAGTCAGAGCACTGTGGGCTTACTTTCTGCTTCACATTAGCTTTAGATGAAGAAGGCTTTGCTGCCTCTGCTAGCCCAGCTCCTTGTTGGTGAATAAAAATACAATTGAAAGCCCAATAATCCAAAACAGTGATATTTTCCAAGAGTTCATTTCATTTTAAATTTAATGAGCTAGTGGAGACCCCAAAATTAACTTTTTAAAATAATTACATATATGAGAGTTGAAAAGTTTCTTCTTTATTATATAAATGTTATGTTGTAACCGAAGTAATCATGGTGGCAGCATGTTAACTTGATAGTTGATAGATAAGCACTAATCCCCTACTCAGAGACAGAAAATCAGTGGTAAAGCATAATATGGAAAGTTTAGTGGAAGGAAAAGGTGTGGCATGCAGTTAATGCACGGTGGGGTCTCCCTTTACATGTTTTAAATCGTAAAAATGTAAATTGTTACATCACAGGGAGATGCATGGGGGCTATCAGTTCATCTGCACTGTGGACTCTGGTGCCTCACACCTTTTTAAAAGATGCATAGCGTTTTTCTATAGAAAGATATAGAAAGATTGCAGAGTAACAAAACACAATTTTGTGGCCAAAATTCTTGCTCCAGACCCTGGCACAATAAAAAGCAAAGGATATACTAATCTTAGATTTAAAAAAAGGGATTGTCTTTTTTTTTTATCCTTCATCCAGGTAGGATGCTTCAGACCTTTCTTCTGGTTTAGGAGTGATTCTCTCTGTGTGAATCTCACCCAAACGTTCAAATGGGCTTTGCTTCATAATCTTTCACACCCTGGTGATCGCTTGCTGCTTGTGGACCTTTTTCAACCACAATTTTTCCTTCCAATAAACCTTCCGTTGAAATGCTTGCATACAGGGCTCTGTGAACAGCTTCTATACCACTGAGCTATAGAGATGCTCCTGTATAGGAGTGTGTTTCTGTGTTACACCAGCTGAGGCTGATCTGCCCCTCCCACAGCCAGCAGCAGCTGCTGTGTGGGAGGAAGAAGACAAACTTACTGAGGAGATCAGCTCTGTTAAAACACCACACATGTTAGAGTTAATTTCACGAAAGCGCCACAATGAGTTTTTAAAAGCATTTATGGAGGAAATAAATCACTGATTTCCACAGCAATGGGTTGTTTTCCAGGTTTTTATAATGAAATTGTCTAGAAGCACATTAGTTTCTGTAATTATAGGCTACAAAACAAACAAAACAAGCCATGGGAGATCTTCATTGTTAATGAATTATTCCATGATCAGTGTTTGCAAGACAGAGTGCACTAATCTTTCCTGGGCTTGTTTCACTATTGTTACTGTCTGTGTTGTGTGGATATAAAAACATCAAAGCAAAGCGACTTTGTTTATGTGTTTATATGTGTGTGGGGGATCTGCCTTATCTGAAAGGCTGATGTCTGGAGAATGCAGATATAGAGCTCACGATCTTGCTTCTGCCAATTAAACTTGCAGACGAAGGGATAGGGGGGCGAACAGAGAAAAGTTCAGAGGCGGCAGGATTTTTGACCGTGGGTGTAAGAGATCGTGTTCTTAAATTTTACACAATTCCTTATTCTGGTGGTGGCTCTGTTCTTTGCCGAATATTTATCCCTGATTATATAACCTTGCATTCTTATAAACCGGCACACGACAATCAACTTTTCATGCCACACTGAAGACTAAATAATTTGCAGACAAGTATGACATCTAATAAAGAGATCCTTGACTGCAGCAGATAAAAATGGATCATAAGTTAAATTTCAGTTTAAAAAAATTACAAAACAATTCATTTATTCAGAAAATTAAAGTTTCAAATGATTTGCGGTGAAAATTACTGTATACTGTGATGCTTATCTATATAAGACTTTCAGCCTTTCAGTCTATACCTCTTGCTTTAGAATAAAAGAAAATACCCTTTTTTATGAAATAATTTTGTCTATCAGTATGAAACACTGCATCCTAGTTTGGAAAACCGTTAGCAGCACCTCTAGGCTGTAAGGTTTTAATGGTAGATTTGTTTGTTATGTATGCAACACATTATCATGAAAATGTTAGTTTGTTTTAAAAAATCCCACATACTGTTTTATGTCATACTTATTAGTACTCGCTATATTATTAGATTGTAGGGTTTCTAGTACGGTACTTATCCTGTTGTGTCCTCCCCTGTTTAGCTCAGCAAACAGGTGTTTTACAGGATGCTAGGGACTGTTAGAAGTGTTAATCCTTTTCTCTGTCTGGTCTCTTCTCTGTGGTTAATACTATTCGGATCTATTCAGTTAATTTAAAAAGCCTCAATTCATAACACGGTATCCCAAGCCACTTTACAGACAATTCAATCACAACATATAAATATATCCTAAAAGTTGATGTTCCATATAAATAGCCAATAGCCAGTTCCTGATAAAAAAAAAGAAGCATATTTTGAAGAATTGTATGTCTCAGGTTTTATTTGTACCTTGTGGTAGAAATAGAAAATAGTGGATAACTAAAGAAAAAACACAGGTTTACTGGTTACTTTTTTTTATTTCCGCATGTCTGTAATCCGAACCAAACTCCGTGTATCTCGTTACTTATATCTGAACAGAAAACAGTGTGGTGGAAAACAACTGAAAAACAAACTGAAAAGGAAAACCTATAATTTTGTGTGATTTAGCATTACAATTCTGAGTGAACAACAATCATATGTGGAGTTCCTCAAGGCTCTGGTCTTTGACCACTTAAATTTACTATCAGAATGATTTTGAAATATAGAATTCTATAAAATCTCTCATAACACATATGCTGATGATAAACATATTTATATTATACTCAGCCACAGTCCTTTACAATCAGTATATCTATAAAATCAGTGGATAGATTAGAATTTCTCAAGCTTTACGAGGAAAACAAAGACTGACTTTATTGTCACTGATCCAAGAAAATCAAGGGGTAGAATCAGTACTAACAAAAACGTTGAAAATATTTCCATAATAATGGGTTTTCAATCAAATAAGGACATGGAAAAACTAATCAAGTATTGTTTCATATGTTTGGGAAGCCTAAATACCATTATTTTAATGTTTTGTTTTTTCTTAATATTGCATAATTTCTTTTATCTGTTCCTTCATTTTCCTGTAAAGCACTTGAAAATATGTTGTTGTTGCTGTAAAGCAGCTTTGTTTGCAGAGATTCCTAGGAAGTAACTGGAAAAATGGAGCACTGGATAACCCTCAGAGAGATTCTTACACACAAGTGCACACAAAATAAATTTTGTTAAGAACCACAGCATATTACTAATATATGTCTAAAAAGAAGAAGCAAAGTTTGCCTTTCATATAGATGCCACTATTCTATCAATGTTTAATTAAGGGTTAACTCCAGTCTTTTACACTTTTGCATACATGTCCTCACTCAGTTTGCAAGTTTATTGCATACAGATGTTCTATTTGCATAAGAAACAAAGTTAATGACACAATAAGTAATTACGGTGACTTGTTACACAATGTTAGAGAAACTACATCCTGTTATCTGTTGGGTAATTTATCAAATAAAAGGTGACAAGTTGGTCTACCCTGCCAGTTACACCTGAACAGAGAAAATGACAACAGCAACTAATCTCAGTCACACACATGCTTCTAATCTTTAAAGAACAGGCGTTTTGATGGACTGCAGCCATCAAGGGCTTATTTGTTTTCACTTTTGTTTTGGGTTGTTCCCCCTCTATATATATTGTTTTATTTCTTCTTCCTTAAATTATTCATTTGATGAACAATGCCCAGTGTGAATCCATCACGAATTAACAGTACGTTTAATCCTTAGAGCTAAGAATCACCGTCAAAAAAACTTTAAAAAACTGCTATTTATCTCAGCTTCAGAAAAAAAGACCGCCTGATATTTTACAGAAATATCTTAAATACAGAATGAATCAGAATTTTTTTTTAGTAAGAGCAGAGACCAAACCAAACATAATCTTCTTTCTAATCTGCAATATTTTCGGCCTGAACTTAAGATGTTCACCAAACATAGTCTCAATAGTTTAATGCATGTACATATTTCTAAGACTAAATGGTAGCATTATGGATAATTTGGGTTTGATTCTGTCTACAGGTTTTTCCATTAACACAACTATTAAAGAAGCAAAAGTTAAAGGTTTGGTATTCTGACACAAGACAGGAGCTCATTAAGTTATAAATCAATTTAAAAATAACCCATACATGTGGATTTTCACTTAGGACTTGAATATCGGATAAATACATGTTCTGTTATACAGACATACAGTAAAAGTATATATATATATATATATATATATATATATATATATATATATATATATATATATATATATATATATATATATA